TACCAAAGGCTTCGCTTTTGCATGTGAATGAAAAGTAGGCAGAACGATAATATGTTTTGTCACAAACTTGGTTTAGCAGAAAGACAGCTGAAAACATCAGATTAGTATCATTTGATGAGATTTGCATCCATGTTGTACACGTTAGCTGCATCTGTATGCTGAAGTTTGTATTTATAGCAGCTTTAGCTGGCTTTCTTGGCAGCAGGATTTAGCTGGGTTTAGAGCAATTGCATAAAACATATGTACCAGCTCAGACCACCCCATGTATAAATCAAGTGAAGATGGAGTTGTATTCAAGATGGCAAACCATCAAGAATTAAACCACGTGGATTGATTGCAGCAGGGAGGAGCTTGAAGACAAGTCTTGATTTAGACACTGATTTTTCATCTTTGTTTGCATGGAAGGTTTTTCTTTTCATTCATCTGCTTGTTAGGTTTCTGCTTTTGCAATTATGTGTTTCCTGTTGTTCTGGAAGAGCCTCTGATAAAACAGATCAAGAATATTTACTTACCTTGTTCCATCATCTCTAGAAGGCCTTTCTTAATGAGTTCATCCCGACCTTGCCGTGCTGTCATCTTCTTCTCCAGCACTGTACAAAGTAGTCACATAACACAGCACCAGTTAACAACAGAGTATTTATACAATGGGGTGAGAAAGAGGCAACGTGGGAATTCCCTGGAGTCTCAACTACTGTGTGCTTGGAAGGAACTGCAAGGATTGCATTTTGGGGAGCATGGGCTGCTCAGCCTGTTTGTGTCTTTTCCTTTGTTAAAAGAGCTGTAAAATCATGCACGTGTAGAGCTGAGGTTTATGATGTGACCTCTGTCAGCTCACACTGAGTGCAGAGTAATGGGATATCAGAGCTTTCATGCTGTTTAATACAGCACATTGGAACTGCCTCAGGAAGTGGTGTCCTTTCCAGTGACACTCCACAGGGTATCACAGCAAGTGGAGGGAACTGCCCCATCCTATCTTAGGCAAAGGCAAGTGAGTTTGTCTCCTTACTGATCTCCTGGGACATCCCTGGAGCCTGGTGAGAGCATTCAGTGCTGTGTGTTGGGCTCCTTCCCTGCAGGCAGCTGCTTGAGGGAAGGCAACTCACTTGCTGTAGCTCTCTCCTGTCACTTTTCATAATGTTACTGTGACCTATATAATTTCCACCCCAAATAAAAGGGGTGACAATACTTGGGGCCATAAATGTAGCCTATTTGGAGAAGGGACAGCCCATGACAAGCAGTCTGTGGCAAGGCTTGTGCTTCACTCTCATATTTTGACCTTTCATTCTAAAGGTACTATATTATATTATATAGGAAGTCAGTCTATATGGGCTCTTCCTAGCCTTAAATGTCAAATGCTGAATTCTCTGAATTAGTTTTAGCTCAGGTCACCTTTAACACTTCCTATGTAACCAGTTTCACCCAAGCCAAGCTTTGCCCTGTGCAGCATCACTCCCTCATTCCCAGCCTACCTGCAGATGTCTGCTTTAGCTTCTCGTTTTTCTTTTTCCTCCACTTCCATGGTTTGAAGATCCTGCCCAGTGTTGCCAGTTTGCTGTTCCTCCTCACTGGTGGAGTTCGAATCCCTGAGACCAAGTAGTCAGAGCGCACTGCAGGGGACTGCTCCATCTCATCTGGGAGGGGAGAGAGGAGGGACAGCTGTTGGACACAAAGCTCCTGCACACACTTACAGAGGGGAGGCAAACGGGGGCTCACCAGCTAACAAATACTCAGCCCAGTCCCCCAGAGAAGCAGTGCAAGACTTTGCAGTGCTGGAGCAGCAGCCAGGAGGAGGGACAGCAGCCAGAGAGGTGTTCCACCTCACTGTGCCAGCCCAGGGCTTCCTACCAGCTGCTCTCTTCACTCCACTCTCCCACAGTACCTGTCTGCATGCCAAGTATCTCAGTATCTCCACTGCTGCCATCCCTCCCAAATTCATCAGGGCTGCTCAGCCTGTAGAGAGGGTGATGTGCTGAATTTGTACACTTTATGCTCTTTTACATCACCTTCCTACCCCAGTCCATGCCTGGTACTCACCCAGGCCACTCTCCCTCCCAAGGGCTGTGTGTAGCTCTGTTAGAGCCTTCTGAAATGTGGAGAGCTGAGAGCTCCCCATGGCTTTAATAGCAGCAGCAGAAATTTAACACATCTGTAAATCAGGCCCATGTGGCCTCCAGTTAATCACATAAATGTAATGTTCGTTTAGAAAAATGCAGACCTTTATGAAAAGCTGAGAGGAAGTGTGAGAAAGCTCAGGTCCCTCCTGAATTCCCAGCTTCCAGTTCTATTCTCAGGCCACAGGATATTGCTGCCTTTCCAATGAACTCTTCACATAAGCCAACACAGGACACACTGACTTTTGTGAGCTAATGCAAATCTTTTCTATAAGGATAGTTTGTTTGATATGTGCTACGTAAGTAAAAATCTCAGGGCTATTATGAAAATTTATTCCTTGAGGAAGCTAAGGGGAAAATTCTTTTCCTTTTGTCCAGCCAAGCCACAGGAATTCAGAGATAATGCTTCAGCAGGCAACTCAGCTTAGGTATTCTTAATATTTTGCTTGAAAATACACTAAGTTTTGCTTATAGACAAGTCTTACAGGACACAATACACACTGACTATTGAGAGTTTTGTGCTAACCAGTACCATGGAGGGCAGAGGCACAAGGCTGTAAATGGGCTCATTGATGTCTTCACTTGAGCACCAACACAGCACTTGTGAAAGAGAAGCTGCCACCAGACATGTTACACGACTTAAAACCAAAAGGCAATTTGTATTTTCTCTCAGCAGTCAGTTATGATTTAAACAAGCAATGTGAAGCTATGAACATATGTACGTTTCCAAGTAATTTTTTTCTCTGGAACAACAACATTTGTCATCAATTGCTGTATGACTGCAAGGTAAAAACTGCACAGGGTTTGTTTTTCAGCTAACAAGGTGCAAATGCCTAAATCACAGCATGGAGGTGGGGATTTCCAAGTAAACAGGAAGCAATTTTGGGGAGATTATTAAATCAAGCAGGGGAATGAACACATTCCTCCTCCTCCATTTAATTTTGAAAATACTGGTAATAGAGGTGAATCATTCAGTGGAGACAAACCAAAAACTTGGCCATGTGAACTATCAGAACAGAGAAAAGCTGTAACCATTCCCCACACACACACTGTGAGTGCCCAGTGAAATTCTTCCTTTGTACTGAATTTAGGACACCTTTTGTCTCATTCCACTGAGCTTATCTTGGGGTTTAATTTACAAGAGATTTACAATGTACATAAAAATACATTTTTACCTTGAAAGCTTGGTGCCTGCCCAAGGTGATATTTATAATTTACAGTTTGGAGGTCAGTATTAAGCTGAGAGCAGAAAATAGCAATGAGCCTTTCACGGAAGGAAGGCAAGAACCTACAGACCACAGCTGGAGTGCCAAGATATCCTGCTCCTTTCCTAACAGCCTATCCAAAAATGAGAAGTACCACAGAAATAAGCTTTGAAGGACTAGAGCTACTCTTGATTACAGCGATGGCAATGAGAATGGAAAATGGCAGAGGAGATCTGCTATTAATTTGCTATTATGATCACTATAAAGCTGTAATAGAAGCCTCAGAAAATAGCATTTGGCCATTTCTTGTGACATCTCTTGAGTGGGAATAGAAATGTTCACAAAATTAGCTCCTCTCAAAAGAGCTTTGGATCAGACTGTAAATCAGAGCCTTGTCCCAAGCTACAATGGAGCAGAACAGCCTGAGCTCAGCTGTCCCTGGTCCTTCCTTGTGAGGCTGCACTGCTGCTCCCACCATTCCAGGAGTTTCTCAAGCATGTAAGTGAAGATTAACTAAGCAGCTGATTTACAGGAGCATCTTGGCAAGTTCCTGATCCTCCTGCAGTTCATTCAGGATGTAGGTGTCTGCAAAGTGGTTTAGACATCATCCACATGTTTTGTTTGACACTGGTAGCATGAGATCATTTTACTTCTTCTGCCAGAGAGCAGGAGATGTACACAGAACCAGGAACTCATTCAAACCCAAACCTGTGTGTCTCTAGCAGTGCTTATTATCCCAGATATTCCCCTAAGAAAGAGAATGGGGAGAGATTGCAAAGACACTAGGGATTCCCTAAGTGCCTTGTAGAGATTAGTGCATCTGTGGTTTCAACCAGTCCTGTCAACTGGGTTTCTTCCATCCCCTTCTGCCCTCCTGATTGTGGAAATGTAAGGATTTTGTGCCTTAGGCTTTGATTACAGAGGAAACACAGACAGAAATCAAATGTCAAAGAAAGAATAGTAGCTAAAACAAATGTTCCACTGGAGGTTTTTTTCTGGGCTTTTAACTTTATTAATGCTTCTCATATGGTACAAACAGTTCTTAAGTTAATGGATTTATCACCTGGTACATTCTCACCATATGCAGTTCCTACACTGTGCATTTGGAGAGATGGACACAAATAAAAATAGATAGAGACACAGCGAGACAGATGTCCTGAAGTCATAAATAACAAGGAAATGGTCTCACTGGCAATAAGAATCACAAAAAAGCCCTTGGAGCTCCTCATTTCCAGTTAGTTCATTTTTTTCTGGTTGTGGGTTGGCTACTTGGGAGATAAGAAACTGACAGCACAAAAAGCAGTTCCCACATACAGCAGTGTATACTGAAGGAGATGCCTAAATATCAGCCAGTTCCTGCAGCCAACAAGCTGCCAAGGCTTGCCAACCCTCCAACCACTCTGTGAAATATACAGCACATTTTTTTAATCTGCAGTCAATATTTTAATTATGCTAACTGTTCTGTGGAATAATGTGGTTATTTCTCCCAGAGCCTGATAGCCTGGGGCCAGGCCATGCAATTACATAGAGGATGTCTGCAAAATATAAACAGCCAAGAGCCAAATCATGACTCTCCAAATCAGCAGGGGGAAATGAGCAACAGCTTAACTCGCTGTGTGATGTGGAAGGATGAGGGACAATTGTTATCAGGGTCAAGTGAGCACAAGTTTAACCCACATCACAGCAACCTGACCATCCCCAGCACAGAAGTCCAGGCTCTGCTTGGCCTCACTGTCCAGACAGGCCAATTGGTCCCACACTGCCCACAGAGAATCAGTCATCAGCCCTGTGGGGCCAGAGGATTTTGCTCTGACTGGTTCTTGTTGGCTGTTTGTCTCAAAATTACTTTCAAGTCCCTATTGTACCCCATTGAGGGCAAAGGTTCCTGTGCTGGAGCTCCAGCTCCAAAACAAACCCCTCATATATCACACACTTGTCATCACCTCTGTGTGTGTCAAAGTGGTGGAAATGAATGTGGCTGTGCCCCTGATGCTGGGCAAGCACTTCTTACAGTGCTGCCTGGTGTAATTTCTAGAGCTCCTAACAGTGGTCACATGTGAGTGGTTTAAGGACTGACACATCCCAAATCAGATGAGGGAAGAGGTTCTGAACTGTCTGGTACTGCTCTGCAGTACAGTCTGAGCTGCAGAATCAACCAGGCAACAAAGAAGCAAACAAACCATAATATTCATTACATTTTGCTGCAGGCTCTGACCCCTCAGATAGTCTAAGCATCTGCAGCTTCTGTTTACATCAGCAGCAGTTGTGGAGACCAGTGTTTCTGAAAAACACCCCCTTGCTTTCTCCTTTAAAATATTGCAGTGACATAAATGGACCACTCTTCCTCTTAGTCCCTTCTCTGGAGGAATTGTGTGATGGCTGTGAAGGTTTTCTGCACACAGAAGCTCTCCCATTTACACATGTCAAGTCCTGGCTGTGTCCCAGGCAGCTTCCCACAGAAGTGGGACAGGTTTGCTCTGAGTTCTGTGAATTGTGTCCTGGCTGTGTGATGGAAGAGCCCTGTGCCTGCACATAGCCTTCACCTGTCCAGCAGCTGGGTTGGGTGTGAGATGATCATGCCTGAGTGATAACAGCACTGTGAAATTGAGCTTTGGGTTCAGTGAGTTGGGTCTATCTTCTTGGGTTTTTTATGATGAGCCAAAGAGTCTGTAGCTTGATTCCTGTGTTGCTGATTACTGCAACTGCAGGCTGCATTCCACAGGCTGATGTATGGCACTTGGGAACATCAGGGATGCAGAGCTGACCTTGCCACAGAGAGAGGCTGTAAGGGACATGGGATGTCCTCTTGTGAATACACAAATTGCAGCAAGAAGTTTGTGGGAAGATGAAGGATGATGAATTTTAATGTGCTGGGAATTTTGGTAACTTAAATTCATGGTAATGAAAGTTGTGCCTTGCTAAGTCCTGTGTGTATCCTCCTAGGAAAAGGACCACTGAAAAATCTGCAACCTGCAGGCAGTTTAAAAATAACACAGCAGACAAGAGCTGCAGGGAAATTTGTAAGGCAGGCGTGCTCTGTTTGCTGATGAACTGGTTTGTGATGCAGTTCTGCATGTTTGCCCCTTTACTGTCATTGCATCTGCCTTTGCAACTCAGGTGCAAAGTTAAAAAAGGAAAAAAGGTTCCCTTTGGTCCACTGCAGGGGGTGGAGACTGAGTGGAATCAAAACGACCTTTTTGGCTTTTGGGATAGAGGTGCCTTTATCACTAGTAACTTTCAGTGCTGCCTGGAATTAGTGTGTGCCTCTAAATGGGATGTGAAGGAGAATGTCATTGGGAGAGCTGAGCTTTTA